TCCCCCCCCCTCCCCCGCTCCAAAAAAAATATTTTTTAATATATTTTTCAGTTTTAATTTTTTTTTTATTTTTCGGTTTAAAGGTTCAAAATTTTACAAGTTCCAAAGTTATGAGTTCGAAAGTTTATGTGTTTGGAAGTTTACGGGTTTGAAATTTCACGGTTTCGAAAGTTTAGCGGTTCGAAAGTTTATGCAATTTGTGGGTTCGGAAGGTTGTTGGTTCGAAAGTTTATAGCTTTATGTTTATTATATCTAAATTATTTATGAATACTCTTGAGAAGTCAGTTTCCTTAATTTGCGTACCAAACACCAGAAAATGAATAAGATTACTACTTGTTTTCCAAGAAAACATTTTCTTGGAAAATATTTTCCGTTATACCAAACACACCCTTTGTCAAAAGGGCTTTTCAAAAAAGTACTTTTGGTGAAAAATAGTTTGTGTTTGGCTATTAATTTGAAAAGCACTTTTGAGCAACAACTAGTGTTAATTGGCCAAGCTTTTATAAAGTGCTTTTAATAACATATTTGGCCAAGCTTTTAAAATCTGCTTATTTTGAGAAGTGTTTTTCAAAAAAGTACTTTTTGTGAGAATCAGTTTGTGTTTGGGTAATTAATTAGAAAAACACTTTTGAGCAGTAATTAGTGTTTGACCAAACTTTTGAAAACTGCTTCTAAGTGTATTTTTCTCAAAAGCGCTTCTCAGAAAAGTGCTTTTGAAGAAGCTATATTTTTCCGCTTCTCAAAAGATGCTTCTGCTTCACCTCAAAAACACTTTTTTTCCTTCTAAAAGCTTGGTCAAACATCTCAATTTTTTGCCAAAAGCACTTTTGGCCCAAAAAAAAGCTTGGCCAAACAGGCTATAAGTGTATTTTTCTCAAAAGCGCTTCTCAAAAAAGTGCTTTTGGAGAGAAGCTATTTTTTTCTGCTTCTTCAAAACTGTTTTAACTTCTACTCAAAAACACTTTTTTTTCCTTCAAAAAACTTGCCAGACACATTAATTTTAACAAAAAAATGCTTTTGGCTAAAAAAAAGTACTTTTGAACAAAAAAATAAGCTCGGCCAAACAGAAGGTTGGGAGAAGCACTGTTTTGATAGGTTGGCTCTCGTAGGCTTGAAACCCATAATTTGTCTTTTACGACAACTCAAAGAGAAGGATGTACTCAATTTCTGGACACTTGTATAGTTTGCTGATATTTTGCCCGTTCAAAAAGAGGTTACGAAAGGAAATTAGTTTTTGTAGGGGTGGGGGTGGGGTGCTTATTCTCTCGTATCTCCATCCATCCCTATTTCCTGTGGAAACCTAAGTTCATACATAGTTACTTAAATTGCCTTGACCTCTTTGCTGTCCATTCACTTGTAAAAAATTTGAGACTAAGAGCGTGTTTGGTATAACGGAAATGTTTTCTAAGAAATTTTTTTTTTGGAAAATAAGTAGTAATTTTATTTATTTTTCGGTGTTTGGTACGCAAATTAAGGAAAATAACTTCTCAAGAGTATTCATAAATAATTTAGATACAATAAACATGAAGCCATAAACCTTCGAACCAACAATCTTTCTGAACCTACAAATTTCATGAACTTCCGAACCGCTAAACTTTTGAAACCGCGAAATTTTGAACCCGTAAAATTTATAATTTCTAAACCCGTAAAATTCCAATCACATAAACTTCCGAACTCGTAACTTTGGAACTTGTAAAATTTCGAACCTGCCGAAAGATGAAAAAACTAAAATTGAAAATATATTTAAATAAATATTTTTTTCCCGGGGGTGGGGTGTAGAAAAACGAAAAAATAAAAATTTAAAATTACAAAAAAGAAAGTATAAAAAAAACTTTTTTATTGTGCGGGGTGGGTGGCAGTGGGGGTGGGGGGTTAGGGTGGGTGGTGACAGAAAAAAGAAATTGAAATTTGAAAAAAAAATATTTTTTTTGGAGTGAGGGGCTGGGGTGGGATGGGTGTGGGGGTGTGGGGTGAGTTGGTGAGGGTGGGGAAGGTTGAGAAGGAGTTTTGGAAAATGATTTCTTGATAAGGAAAACATTTTCTTTCAATTGGAGGAAAATGGGTTCATAAGGAAAATATTTTTCAGAACATATAAATCAACCGAATATGAGAAAATTGGAAAACATTTCCAGAAAATATTTTTTTTTCGTACCTAACACAGCCTGAGAGTTCTGAAGATGTCAGTCTTTGTTAATTTTTCTTACTTTGTGTTGATTCATTTTGCAACTTCTATTTGGTTGAATGTGCCAATATGATATGATCTTAAGCAAGTATTCATTAATTACGCCACTTCCAAAGCTGCCAATCTTTTGTTTGAACGATGTTATGGCTAACTTGTGTAATGTAATTGCAGGTGGGAATCATTCCATGGTTAATATTGTCCACTAGAGTCAGCAAACTTATCTGCCGCAAAATATTCAAGTAGGATAGGAGAGCAAAGTAATTTGAAGCGAAGAAGCTACACATCAATTGAAAAGAACCAAGATGCATGGTCTGTCTACTGATATATATATATATATATTTATTTGCTTGCGATTAACATGCACTATTTATTTGTCTGGTGTTCATTTATCACCTATCGATTCTTGTCTTATTTTTGAAAAGATTATTAGTGAGTAGTAAAGCATAAAGTTTGTATGGTAGTGCCAACAGTGCCATTGCCACAGAAAGCATAAGGCTGTTCACTCGATTGAATATTGTCTATTTAGGTTATATATTGTTAGCATTTCTGATTTTGTTTCACAAGGATTGGGAAGTTCACATTATGCATTTCATTTATTATTTTTTTAAGGGGCATAAAAAATTAAAACGTGCCAAGTAAAAGTGAACGGAGGGAGTAGTATGTATAATCTTATTAAACTCATTCAGCTTGTTCTTTTAAGTCGCTTCTTTTTTCTTTCATTTTTGTTCTTTGTGTGATGCTTATTTGGGTCAAAGAAGAAAGTGGCTACCCTCGTGGAATTCGATAACTCTTTTCTGCTTATACTTGAATAACCTACTTAAGCAGAAATAAATTAATTTCTAACACTTTTTACATGCCATTTTTCCGAGTCACTAGCTAATCAAGAGAATTATTTGTAATAATAGTTTTAAGTGATATAATTGTGAAATATATATTGTTTTTTTCTCAATGTGTAGAATGTAAACTCATAGAAGTTGATAGAGTTGGACATGGTTTGATCAAGCTAGTCATATATATATTTTGGAGTTCTAATATTTTCACCTCTCGCTGTATTCTTATGGACAATTTCATCTGTTCTCCAATTTGGCATCTTTTAGCCAATAGCAAAGACTTTAAACCAAAATTTTAAATAATTAATACATCACTTTATGGATAATTTCTCCTCTAAAAGGGAAAATGCTGAAGAATTGATCACAGTTTGTGATATTCCTTTTGTCAAAAAGCTGTGCTGTACTGTGGATAGCATCCATTATAGGAAGGTAGGGTTGGGCATATATCGTGTAAAATCGATAACCCGAACGGTTAGTTATTTATTGGATTATCGGTATTGGGTTATTGGGTTAACGATTCGATAACTATTTAGAATCTTTTCACTATTGGGTTATCGATTTAGGCCTCGGTTTGCCAATTTTGTTAATGAGTTAACCGATAATCCAATAAGAATTATGAAATTACTACTTTATCCTTAAGTATATACATATATTAGGGCTTCACTTCATTCTTTCCTTGTGTTTTTAGTTGTAAAAAGTTGTAATCTTGAACGTAATAATGTTGGAATCAATTGTTTGTGTTATGAAATATAACTCAAAGTAACAACATGGAACAAGGAAATAAAAGCAATTTTGTAAAACATGAACAAGAAATAAAGATAGAGAGAAGGAAGATATTTTCTTCTTCAATTGTGTGTATTTTCCTATCTACTACAAGGCCTTTATATAGGCATACAAAGTGAAGAAAATATGTCATGGAATATGTCATTGAACATACAAAATATGTCATTGAACATACAAAATATGTCATTGAATATGTCATTAGGCATTTGAGATTAAGATCATGGAAGAAGAGTAGACATCCACCATAATGTGATATTTATCACAACACTCCCCCTTGGATGTCTATAGATAATGTGCCTCGTTAAAACCTTACTAAAACAAAACCCAATGGGAAAAAATCCTAGTGAAGGAAAAAGAGTACACATGTTTAGAAATACGCCTTTTGGTTGCCTCGTTAAAAACCTTGCAAGGAAAATCCAGTGGGACAAAACCTTGTAAGGAAAAAAGAGTACAACGCATATTAACTCCCCCTGATGGGAGCATCAATTCACATCCTTGATCATTCACATCTCAATCTTGTACACTAGTTTCTTGAAGGTTGACATCGGTAGAGATTTGGTGAACAAATCAACCATATTATCACTTGAACGAATCTGTTGCACATTGAAATCACCGTTCTTTCGAAGATCACGTATGAAAAATAATTGTGGTGAAATGTGTTTTGCCCTAACTCCTTTCTATGAATCCTCTATTCAATTGGGCTATGCATGCTGTATTGTCTTCATACAAAATTCTTGGTAGTTTGCAACACTTCAAACCACATTTGTCTTGAATAAGATGTATTATAGACCTCATTTCTCGACTTTCTTCATGAATAACAATTATCTCAGCATGATTAGATGAAGTAGCCACGATTGATTGCTTAGTCGATCGCCAAGATATGGCAATGCCTCCACATGTAAACACATAGCATGTTTGTGATCAAGCTTTATGTGTGTCAGATAAATACCCTACATCGGCATAACTAACAAGATCGGGATTGCAATCATTGCCATAAAATAAGCTCACATTGGTAGTCCCATTTAGATAACACAATATGTGTTTGATTTCACTCCAATGTCTCCTTGTAGGAGTAGAGCTATATCTTGCTAAGACATTAACTGAAAATGTTATGTCATGCCTTGTAGTGTTAGCAAGATACATTAGTGCATCATTTGCACTAAGATATGGTACTTCAAGACCAAGAAGTTCTTCATTATTTTCATGAGGTTTGAATGTATCTTTATTTATATCGAGTGATCTCACATCCATCGGGGTACTAAATGGATTTGCTTTATCCATATAAAATCACTTTAAAATCTTTTCAGTGTATGCTGATTGATGGATAAAAATTTCATCTTTCATATACTCAATCTGTAGACCAAGACAAAATTTTGTCTTTCCAATATCTTTCATTTCAAATTCTTTCTTTTAAACAGTCTACTGCATTAGGAAGCTACCCAGGAGTTCCAATGGTATTTAAATTATCAGCATACAATATCGATTATAGCAAATTTAGATCCAAATCCTTTTGTAAAGACACAAGGACAAATTGAATCATTCTTGTACCCTTCTTTCAACATGTACTCAATCAGGCGATTATACCACATGCGCCCTGATTGTTTCAATCAGTATAAGGATTTTTGAAGCTTTATTTAATAAATTTCTTGAAAACCATAATATGCTCCAAGACAATTTAAATCCTTCAATGATTTCCACTATACGCATATCAAGTTTTTCATATATTGCCAGATTAAAACCTGAAATGACTATATCCATCATAAGAGAACATGTCTCCATATAATCAATGTGAGGATAGTTACTAATTTTCTTGTGTCACAAGTCGTCTTTATGTCAATCGATTTGAACTTTTTGCACAAGAACACATTTATACCTCCATTGGCTTTATACTTTCAGGTGTTGGGTCTATCCGCCCAACTTCATATTTTTATAGTGAAGTCAATTTTCATTGCGTATTTCATTTGGCCAATCATTTATCTGTTCAAATTTCATGACAGATTTGAGCTCAAGATCCTCGTCAATATTAATAATATTGAGCGCTACATTATGTTAACAACATCGTCAACGATCATTTTATATCAGTTCAATTATTACACAATAAGACATAACTTATTGAGATCTCTTTATCTCATTATTTTCAGGTACCCGAGCCTCTCACATGAGGTCTTACGAAGTGTTTTGTCGTGTTGCTCTTCTAGAGCACTTGCCTCGTTATTGTGATCATCTTGAACATTTTTCCCTCTCCTTCTTCAAGGAGTTTTATCTTTGGAACCGATTGGTCTGTTACGCTTCATGCGTGCCATAGACTATGTCCCTCATGGACTTTATTCTATTTAGAGCATTAGCAGCTGAAATATGACATTTAACTTTGGGTCAGCAAATGCGTCTGGCAATAATTTATACATTAATTATCACTTGAACTTCAAGTTCATATTTTCTTGTACGAGGATCTATATGTATTCATAATAATTCATTTCACGTATCACTTTCTCAGCTGTCCATTTTCTCCCCCTAATGTTGGGATTACCAACACATTTCCCAAACTTCTTTGGGAACTCATCTCTGTGTATTGTGGTGATATAATTAAATCATATAACATATCCATATTTCTATATAGAAATTATTTGGTTCCTGACCCTGAACCGATTGTGATAGGGAGAAATTTTCATAACTTGGCTAGATGCGTACAAGTGCTGCTGTATATTAAATAATACACCTCATACCAAATTTCGTTTTTGGGAGTTTTGTTCTCATAACCAATGATTTAACTATAATTGGAAGCATACAATTTCTGCTAAACCAACTCGGATTTAAACCAGTATAATCAAGATAAATCATCATAATTTATATTCTGGAACTGTGCTCTAATAATTTGAGCAAGCAATCTTGCAAAAGCCAAACTGCAAGTTGATAACAAATGCACATGTGACCATAGAATATATGCATCTATTAAAATTATTTAATAATAAACAGTCCACATGGCAGGTGACTGGGCCCATATATTTATTACCTTTTATTCGTTCCAGAAATCAAGGGATTCAATCCCAACCTTAACTGGTATATCATGAGAATAACCAGCACAAGGGAATTCTTGAAGAATCTTTTATTCTTCGATATATGCCAATGTAATTCTCAATTAATTTTTTGCATCATAATTGAACCGGGATGGTCAACCGGTCATGCCAACTAATATGTATTTTAGTAAACCTCTAGTTTACTTGTGGCATATGATTCTAGCATCATGCTTATATTTGTGTATTACAAATAGAAAGAAGATCGGGTAACCTTTCATATTTACCCGGTATAATTATTGAAATATGAAGATATTCAATCTTCCTTTCATTTATAGTCTCAATATGCCAACCACTTTGATTTATACATTTGAAATTCAAAAAGTTTCTTTTTGAGACATTTACAATATCAATGTCATGAATAATTTTATTCATCCGGATAGTAACAAATTAGTTTTTCCGGAGCTCTTAACAGCTTTTGTACTACAAGATCTTTTATCATACCATTCATATGGTAAATGTCTCATTCACTGAGAAAAGTATATCATAATAATTGTCATGGTCAAAATTATCATAAGCAGAATCATTTCTTGCTTTAATTTTGCCTTTAATAACTTTGTAAGGTATGACAAAATAATTTTTGGTGTACCGCATGTACGCGACCAATGACATATTCATGTAACCACACAATAATATTTATTCTCTTTATTTCGCTCAAACCTCCCTTAGAGGTGAGTTGTGTGATATTCATCTAATCATGAATTGCATGTCTTTATTGCTTTGTCACATATTGCCACATTCACCTTTAGGAATGGATCTGCATTCTCAATGCTTATCACAAGTTACATTCTCTTCAAGGAATGGATCATAATTAGTGATGTGCTTCATACCAATTTGTTGGTAAACATTGCCTTTACATTTTGAAGGTCTTATTTTGAGAACCCTTGTTATTCTCCTTTTATAATCATTGTGATGATTATTATTATTTGGAACGCTCATGTTCATTGTTCAGCCACTTGTCTTCATTTAGACTTATTATGCCCTGCTACCATATTCACTTCAAGAGTGGAGCTAATCAAGTGGGACAATCTTCATGCCTTTTCATGAAAATTACATTATTTTTCTTTAGTCAGCATTATATCATCAGTATGGTACATTGAGACCCAAACCCAATGTCTCACCAATATAAAGTCATGTTAGGCCATAATAAATTGGGACTCAAACCTAACTCTTATCATTATGGAGCATAAGGAATTGATCCCAATGTCTTACCCTCAATCAATGCATAATAGGCTAAACAATATTGAGATTCATTCTCAAGCCTTAATTTTAATTACATGCCAATAACGTTGTACACAGCTAATTTGCAACTTAACAAATCAAATTTGTTTTCTTAAATAAGTGTACAAATCTCAAATCAACGTAAAACTTTATCAATTATTTGTAGCATTTATATGAAATACAACTGTTTGTAGTCGGAATATTTCTTCTAAATTCTATTAGAGTTTAAATGGATCATAAAATCATTGTCATAATATTTATTGAGCCTCTTAGAAAAATATTGTTGTTTTCGGGGTATACCATACCTATTGGATTTGATTTAACGTCATGACTTTCCTTCACTCAATTCAACCAAGCAATGAGTAAATAAATTTATCAAAAGTACAATATATAGATAACAACACATATACAGTACTAATACATAAATTCGGCATTTATATTACCTGAAAAGTGACACTATAGGTAATAACTTACCAGTTGTAGCTTATGCATCATTCATATAAAATACTTAAAAATGGTAAGTCAGTAGCAAGCATCAAGTAGGTCATGGATACTTGAAAATACCTCTTCTAGTAGTCATACTAATCACTGTTTGCTTTCAAATGATACAATCATAAATTATGAAGTATACTTTCTCAATAGTTGGTTTGTTTTCCAAATTTCAAAGAAGTAATTAATCAACCTAGATAAAGATGTGAAGTATTTCTTGTTTTCTTCAAGATGATTTATGCTTCTAATTAGTATGACCAATTTTTTTTAATTCCTTTTTTTACTATATGCAAGGGCAAAAACCCAAAAGGAAAAAATATCCATTCAAGTAAAAGAAAATATTAAAAGTGACAGGACATATTGAAGATAGTTAACACACAAATATGCATAAAATAACTTATATAACATATCCTTGGTTACCATGACATGCATCATATCAACAATTAACTGTTACTATGATTTTCACATTTAGAACTTCGAAAATTTCAATCCATTCATGTGATATAAAAGATGTAATATTAATATGTGCTTATGCAATACATGTGTAGTACGAAGTTGTGTGCATATGTGATATTAAAGGAATGACAAGTATAAAATACTCACACCTTCTTACGTTTTTACTTACCATATGTAGTTTCTCTTTACATCTAACCATGAGATGATATATATGGCTTCTAATTGCAAATTTTCTGGATGTAGGAAATTTTTTGTAGATATATATAAAAGTGGTTAGAGACTCGTGCTGATAACGTGTTATTAAATATAACTCAAAGTAACAACATGGAACAAGGAAATAAAAGCAATTTTGTAAAACATGAACAAGAAATAGAGATAGAGAGAAGGAAGATATTTTCTTCTTCAATTGTGTGTATTTTCCTATCTATTACAAGGCCTTTATATAGGCATACAAAGTGAAGAAAATATGTCATGGAATATGTCATTGAACATACAAAATATGTCATTGAATATGTCATTAGGCATTTGAGATTAAGATCATGGAAAAAGAGTAGACATCCACCATAATGTGATATTTATCACAACAGTTTAGTGTTTCTTTGCGACTTTTCTTATGTTATTTGATGAATTCAGTGTTTTAAAATTTTTTTAGGGTTGACTATCAAATAAAGTAAATTCAAGAACTTAACGTGCTTATGGGGTTTGATTAAGTTCGGTAGATTTTTGGTTAGGGGTAGGTTTGACTTCTAAAATAAATAAATTCCAAGAGCTGATCTTTCCCATTCTTTTTTGGGGTCAGAAATTGTTTCGGTTCTGTTGTACGTTTTAGTTCTTCTCTTTTTTGCTTAACTCTAGTGAATTGTTTTTTCTTTTTTGCTTAACTCTAGATTGAGTTATCTTATCGGGTAAATCGATAATGATCGATAACCGATTAACTGATACCCGATAACCTCTTTCTTATCGGTTCGGTTAACCGATATATTACACTGATAATATTTATAACCGAATCGAACCGACCGACGCCCATCCCTACAGGATGGTGAGTGCGAATTTTAAAAAGAAAGAAAATTGCTAAAAGTAGTAAGCTTCTTGTCAAAAAGATAAAAATCAAAGTTTACTACCACTTGAATATAGAATTATCATTCAAGTCATTATTTAACTGATCGATCATCTTAGGTCCCCCGTTAAAAAAAATATTCCTCAAACTTATGCATCAAATTTTGGTTTGACTTCCAACTTTTGAATTGGAGTCAGAGGCTCCTACTCAAGTGATACTTCACAGAAAGTTAATGTAATGTGACGTCCATCGACTTAAGAAGACTCATCATTCTTTTATGCCAGTTTAATAAGGACTTTGAAATTTGTCTGCACTTTGCAAACTTTAGATATATAGGGATCGTTTGGTAGGATGTATTAAGGAAAAAATAATATATGTATTAGTTTAATATTATTAGTCATTTGTTTGGTACTAGTATTTTTCAATCTATGTATACATAATACATATGTTAGTTATGCATCCTATTTAATTAGGTATCATTTTTATACATAGCAAATCATGATAATAACAATACCATGCATTTAATACATAGATAAACATGTATAAAGATATAACTGTCCTTTCAAAACCTTTTCCAAAGAGCATGGAGATGTGTGAACAAACAATATCTTTTAAAAAAAATAAATGGAAATGCATGCTATTTTTAATACACCAAACCAAATAGTCGATAAGAAATAATTCAAGGATAAGTAATCTCGGTGATCACGCTCAACTATGCCTTATAAAAGGACAATGCGGTCGCTGCAAATATAATCCGGTTTACAAGTCCGGAGTCGAATCCCACAGAGAACTAAGGTTTAGCTACAACTGTTCACTGTCACCAAGAAGACAAGCTTGAACAATTCCTAACTTATAGATATTAAGATTCTTTTGTTTAACTAATTAACTAACAAATTAAAATAGTAAATTAACAACTAACGATACTGAGGGTTAGAGAAAAGATTAATGAGGTCTAGAGTTATGATTTCCCCAATTATCGGAATCCTTCCCGCTACGTCTTCTATAATTTCGCCTAAGTATTCTCTACCGATCATGAGCACTCTTATTACAGTAAATCCCTCCCGAGTAATTACGACAATTTACTAGACGCACTCTCCCGAGCTACGCTAGCTGGCTTTTAATACAGCTCACTTCAGATCGCACCCAAGGCTTCGTTATCCCTAATCCCACCTTTAAACCCTCGGTTATTGATCCCTCATATACTCTGGGAGTGGTGTTATTCAACAATTACCTAAATATGCACTCTCTCCCGAGTTATGCATACTAATTAGGCACAGCTAATTGAGAGCTCTTCAACCAACTACAATAAAACGTAGTTGAAC